CTGATATTTCGTATATATAAAAAAATCAAATTCATTAGTCTCGAGACGCGTCTCATGTATTCACATCACACATACATACACACAACACCAAATGAGCGAATACACATACAAAAATATAATAAATATAACTACAATAAATAAATCATAGACAGGCAGTAAAATCAATGTAAATGGATAGATATAAAAATAACAAAAACTTATCGCTTCTGGACGGATTTTTGGTACAATGGCATCGTTTAGATGGTGGCGAAGGTTTGAAACCGGTCAAATTGGTGAAGCCATTTTGGAGATCCGGAGTTGCATAAATTTCACGTTAATTAATATGGTTCAAATTCCAAGTGGAATCCAGTCAGGATCTCCTCAAATATTACAGATAATGGTCACAATAAATCCCTCGATTTATAGGGTTACCTGTCTTATCACCAATCCTCTTCACGCCAAGATCAGCACCATTTTATTTTAAACACCACACCTTTAAAAGGTTAACGGTTTTTTATTACTTACAAAATTTAATTTATCAAAATATACACTTCCCAATAATTAACTTTACTATCAATAAAATAATTTACATTTACATTTAAATAAAACAAAATATTAAATTAAAAATTCTTACTTATGTGTCATCGGCGATACACATATGTATGGTGCGATCAATCCCTTCTCAGAACACAAGGCGATAAGACCGAGAAACCCCGTATTTCTACTTTTATTATAAGCGATAATGACTCCCTTCCCCGCGAACCCCCGTGGTCCCCCAGGTCTAACCGATCTCAACCTCGCTTGGAGAGTCTACTTTAATTTTCCGAACTCATCCGTCATTTCTCGAAATTCGCCGAAAATTTCCTGGAATTACCAATACATAAATCGCACGCATACAGATCATACTAAGCAGACAGCTTGGCACCACATTATCAATTATACAAAATAATTAAAATTAAAATGCTCTGATTCCTTTCAAAATGATCTTTTATGGAGAAACTTGTGTCCTTCCGAATTGTATACGTTTTGCGCTTTAGTAATTTTAATGGGAATCATAAAAAAACCGTTTGTTGCAATGTACTGGTCAAGCGACCCCTTATTAATTACCCCTACTTTTGGACAATACATGTCATTAAAACAGTTCCAATTAATAAGCAGATTTTTGATTATTCTGAAGATGATTCTATTGACAAGTTACGAAAAATCCGCCCATTATTTGAATTAATGATTGAAAAATTTAAAACAGCTTATAGACCGGGAGAAAAAATATACATTGATGAATCCTTATTGAAATTTAAAGGTCGCTTATCGTTTAGGCAATGCAATTTGTCGAAAAGGTCACGATTTGGCATAAAATTATATATTGCTGTGAATCTGTTAATGGCTATATATATAATTCGTCAGTTTATGTCGGCAAAGATCCCGAAGATGAGAGTAAAATGATTGGAGTTTCGGGGAAAGTTGTTATGAGATTATTAGATATCTTAAGTGGTCAAGGACGTATTATATTTCTTGACAATTGGTACAGTTCGCCTTTGTTATTTGCAAAATTGTACGAAAAGAAAAACAACGTTGTTGGTACTGTTAGACTCAATCGGAGGTGCATGCCAAATACGAAGGGTAGAAAATTAAATAAGCTCTCACGCGATACAGTGGTTACATTCCACTCAAATACCCTTCTTGCTGTTATTTGGAAAGACAAGAAAGTCGTCAGTATTTTAAGTACAATTCCTGGATCAGAGTTTATCGAAACGACTAAGACGAATCACAAAACTGGCGAAAAAATTAAAAAGCCGAAAGTTGTCGCAATTTATTTTATAATTTATAATTTATAAAATTCCTAGATGTCAAAACCATAGAAATATTCTTCTGTGATAAATAAAAGCTGAGTATTGTTTTTAAAAATTGTCCTAAAACAGGAACGCCATTTCACGATTTTCGCCACTTCTGGCCAGACAACGTGGACTTCGCCCTGCCAGCGAAGTGATTAAAAAAAACATCTGTCAACAATTATAGATTCAACTGATATTCACTTTATTCTACAACCTTTTAGAATAATAAATTGTTATAACATAACAATTAGGCATTTTTACGAGTACTTATTATTTTCTCACTTTGAGTGTTTGTAGCTCTTAACCTAACCCGTTTTTTGTTTTTGAATTTTTTGTTCCTGACTCTAATTTTTACAAAAATTCGTATTCGTTCTTATAGGGTCAGTTGGGGTAAATGGGGACAAGAGGTGTGCAGCTTAATTTACAGTTTTAAAATTAAGTTCGACGTTAATATTTTACTCTCAGATCACCTAAAAGAGGTTCTGAGTATTGCCAAGCATTTATCTTGACAATTGGCAGCAAGATAAAAAAAGTTATCAATGCATAAAAACTTGAAAATCAAAGTCAAACTGTTTCAGTATTTTGTCTTGCATTTGAAAAAAAAACAGATTTAAAAATCATACAAAATTTTTCTCTTATTCCTTATGATTCCCATCACAGTAAAAACCCGTGCTCAAAATAATCCAGCCAGCAGGATCATTTTGATCGGCAGCAAAAATGAGTCAAGTAGGTGGCGCCACTTTCTATGTCTTTTAGCATTGGCTCATTTTGAACCGCATCAAAAATAAGCCCAGATTTTTACTGTGATAACGGAAATTCACTTGAGTTTTTTATTTTCGTCAATTTGGTTAATAATAACAAGCTGTCTCCATTTACCCAGAGTTTTCAAATTTTTGAGGTAAATGGGGACAGCTTATTAATAACCAAATTGACAAAAATCAAAAATTCGAATGAATTTATGTTATGGGAGTCATAAGGAATAAGAAAAAAATTTTGTATGATTTTTAAGTCTGCTTTTTCAAATACGAGACAAAATACTGAAATAAATAAAAAATCCATTAATTCAGTAATATACTTAAAGAAACTTTTTTCTTAAACCTTTCTTAGAAACTATGCTGTCCCCATTTACCCCAAATTTTATGAAATTTTTTAAATCTTGGGGTAAATGGGGACAGTCAGTTTCATGCGTTTACAGCTTATCTAAATTTTTTTCTGCTGCATAAAATTAATCCTGGGAACGTAAATAAAAACTTAAAAAAAATAAACTCTCAAGTATTACCTTTTAAAGGAAGAAACTTACGTAATTTGTGAAAATAGGGATTTTGTCCCCATTTACCCCAACTGACCCTATTAATAAAATTTTATGAAGTTTTAAGCAATTTATTAATATTGATAATAATATTAATAATAACACAGTGCTACAAAATAAGACTTTTTTTAGATGTCGGAGTAGTTTCCTATGTATTTTTGTGTGCTGAACACGATTTCGGGTTCCAAAATTGCGTATCACGTCAACATTTTGAGTAAAGTGGGGGTAAAGTCTTCAAAAATTGTGTTTTTGATAGTTTTCAATATTTTTTTCTCCTTAACTGGACGTGCTATTCACTTCTATACAGGCTTAAATTATATACTTTAAGATTCATATGCTCAAGATAAAAAAAATTTTAATTTTGAAAAAAATTGGGTTCAAGACACCCAAAAAGTTTATCGGAATTAATTCCCCCATTTTTATCAAAATTTTTTTATCTTGCGTATATGGGTCTTAAAGTTTACATTTTAAGCTTTAATTTAAGTCTATATAGAAGTCTCTAACACGTCAGGTTAAGGAGAAAAAAATAAAGAAAACCCTCAAAAACCCTGTTTTCGGAGATTTTACCCCCTCTTTACTCAAAATCTTGACGTGATACGCAATTTTGGAAACTTGGAGCGTGTTCAGTACACAAAAATACATTGGAAACCACTCCGACAACAAAAAAAGAACTGTCTTATTTTGTAGACCTGTGTTAATCTGAATTCTTTCTGAATGGAGTGTCCAAGTTAACCTATGCCTCTTTATATGTTGTACCCAATAGTTGGACACAGATTTAATTCAATCAGTTTAATTATATTTTAATTAAGTTATTTAATTTATTAAATAATCAAAATAAATCTAGGGGGAAATAACTTTTGAAATAAGGTGTACACTTGTGTTGAATTATCCTGAATTATATTGAATTACATGAATTATTCTGAATTAACTGAAGTATTTTGAATTATCATGAATTACTTTAAACTACTTTGAATTATCTCGAATTTACTATGAATTATCTTGAATTATCTGAAGTATCGTGAATTATCATAAATTATTTTGTAGTAAAAATTTCTTAGTTGTTTCTACCTCGAAATAAATAAATAAATTATCATTTAATTTACTTATTTAATGTTCAACTACTTGGCCTTATCATGTCCAACTACTACGACTTCACAAATACCATGTCCAACTTCTGCTGCAAATGAGAAATTTCATTATTTCAAGATATTAATTTAATTAAAACATCTATTATTAATAATTTTGTGTAATCAGTATCCTTCAAAGGTAAATAAAACGAAAATACAAACATTTTATCGATTATATTGAATTATCTTAGTACAAAACACACCAATAAATTTGAGATCCCCTCAATAGAGTCCAGTTACTGGTGCTTTTACCTTATGTTATCAAATTTAATTTCTTTTAAATTCTCTATTTTTCTATCAGTAAAGACATATTTGAATGAAATTATTCTTAAGTTAATGTACGCAAGTCAAGAATTAAAAATGTAAAAATTAAGATTTATTGTGTAACATTTTTAGACGTAACAAAGGCATTTGATTTGAGTCGAATGACAAAGTACGATCTCCGTCTTCCGATAAGTCTTGAAATCGTTTCGATGAATTGGTGGAACGATTTCACACACGGTGACGGATGTGAGACTCGGCTGGCGCGAGTACCGTATAGTATATAGAGAGGAACCGAGGCCGGTGTGGGAGTTGTTTGATGGGCGGTTTGCTAGGGTTTAGGGGGGCAGCAGGGTTAGACACAAGATTGAGAGTAGGTGAGAGGCAAAGAGAGTGAGAGAGAGAGACTTTCTCGATGCGCGAGGAGGCGCGCGGAAGTACCTCACCGTTTGGGGAGGGGGTTCGCCGAGTTCGGTGGGGTTGAAAACGACCGGGGGTGGAATAGCTGGGGGTTGAAGCAGCTGAGAGCAGTGCGAGTAGGTCACACCGACAACCACAGCGGGAGTACGCGCTTGGCCAAGGGCTCGTAATTGCCCATCGGTTTTTAAAAACACTTCTTCTTCTCCTTCTTCTTTTCGTATTTGTTATTTTTCTACGTTTCAAATTCTTTTTTTGGGTTACCATAAGGAAAAAAGAATAAAAAGTTAAAAGTGCAACGTGTGCGTCAGAACTACAAAAGCGGTAGGAGAGAAAAAGAGTGGGTGGAGGTGGAAAAAAACACGTACGATTCTCAATTTCCATATTTAGAATCTTAAGATGCAAACCAGGAAGTCGCAGCTTCCTTTCCGCGAAAGACATCTGGAGTTTGAAAATCGATCTAGGAACAGGAGAGAATCATCTGTCTCGTGGTACCTCAGAGCCACGTTGGAGCTCGGTAATTGCACTTCCGTTCGTTAGACGAGATACTCACGTAGATGACGTTATCTACTTTTGTGGAAAATAGGATGTGATGTTGTGATTGTGCTATATATCCATTGACTGTCGACAGAAAATAAAACTTCCTTTTCTTTTCATGAAAAAAAATAATTCTTCGGCTCCGTGTTAGCAATTTTAAATGTTTTTATATTCGTTGATTCTTCTTTTTGTAGAGTTTTTTTTTACCATTTATTCAATCCACGATAGTGATTATTCAAAATCCGTTTCGATCAAGATTTATCTTGAGAAACCTAATCAAACCGAGACTTATCTTGTCAAGTATTTATAAAAACTTTAATTGATCTACAACGATGTTAATGTTGCTCTTGGCGAATATATCCGTTAAAGAAAAAATTTATCTAAGAAATCCGAGAATCATCTGATTAATTCTAGACTTGATTGAATTTTTTCTGGTAAAATTGGGAGTTATTCTGGATCAAATCAAAATCCATCTGATCAAAGTTGACCTTACCGAAGCTTTTGGAAACTTGTCTTATTTCTCCAAAGTTCGTCTGAAAAAATTTAAAAACCTAAATCAATATGAATTCAAAACAATTAAAATTGGTCTTAAAACATCGAAGATAATCTTTAAACCAAGTTTGGAATTTAAAAATTGAGACAAATTCAAGATTTATGTGATTAAATAAAGTTTTAAATGATCATAGGCTTAAATAATGAACATTGTAATGATCAAATTGACGTTGTATTGTTAATTAAATCGACTATTCGTTACTCTTACGAAACTAACATTTGTTCTAATCAAAATTAAACTAATCTTAGAAACATTTTTGTGATTCTCGAAATTGGTAAACTTTGTAAAACAAAGAATTGTTCAAGTTTATGAAGAATTAAAATTACAGAAACAAAGTTAAAAGAGCTAAAGTAACAGTTGTTGAAATTAAGAAATATTTAATAAAGAATTTGCAAAAGTTAAGCATAACTGTTGTTAAAATTAAGAAACAAATATTAAATTATTAATGAAGCTAAAAAACAATTGGTAAAGTTTTAGAAACAACAATTGATTAGATCGTTGATAAAAGAAAAGAATTTCAATTGACGAAAAACTTGGATCAGAATGTGATGGTATCAAGTGTCTTAAGGTGAAAATTTCGAGCAACGATTGGTGACTGGTTATTTTATAACCTTTGTAGCTAAGAAAGCAAACGATATTGAGAAATAATTATTGTTGAGCTTTAGTAGATATTCCAGTAACCCTTGTTTATATCGTAATTTGTACGAGAACTGTTGCTGTTAAATTTTTTGCGAACAATATTGTCGTTAATCGTTGAAATTTACGGTATCCATTAAAACTTAAAAAATATACAAATATAAAAAACAAGTACCTACATAGATTATTCCAGAGGCCTTTGCGTCGAACAGCAAAGTCATTGTTACAACCGGCATAGTGACCTAGACGTGCGTCGACATCTATCGATCGCTGATAAATCAACAATGACGAAAATGTTTACTTATTTATAAGGATTTCAATTCTGTTTTATGCCTCGCAGTTTTAGCGCCTTAAAGATTTTATAAAAATTATAATCCTTTGCAAAGCAGCAATTTTTAATTTACTAATGAAATCCTTCTAAAATTAAAAATTTGAGGCGAAGAATAAATAAAGAAGAAAAAGAAAGGATTAAAAGAAAATAAAATGAGAGTAATTTAAAGAAACAATAAGAAAAGAAACCCCTAGGTGAAAGAGAATAAAAAGTGATATTTTCGGGTGTGAATTTGGTGCGCGCCGGATTATTTAAGTGGGTCGGGATCGCAAGTGACAGATTGTGATTGAGGAAGGACCACGTTCAAGGACGATACGGGCAAGGCCAATTGGTAAAAAATTTCGAGAGTGAATCTTACATAAGTGGAAAATTCATGAACAAGAGGGATAATTTTGGATATTGGTTTTCATCAATTTCAATTAAAAATGAAAAAGATTTTGTATCAATTATTTGAATTAAAATTTATTTTCATTGCATTGATACTTCCAGGTATTGTGTGAAAAAATACTTTTTCCGAATCTTTGAAAAAAATCAGAAATTTTTTCTTGCTTGATTCGAATCGTAGTTTAAAATGGATTACGCAGCATCAACAATGTTTGACAGCCTAAAAAACAATCGTATCAGCAAGTTGGCGCTCTCAAAATTCCTGTCGCAAAGCCTGTGAGTAAAATATATACACAATAACTATTAAAAAGCACGAAATTGGTTTGACATTAGAGAGATAATGAGAGTAACCGCAACCATCGTCACGCTCTGCATTCAATTAATTGCTTTTTATTGCCAGATGTGTAATTTGCGGTTTCCGCGTTCGCGTTTTTTTGCTTGTATCTCCATCGATATTTTCGATGATTCTTGTTGGTATCGTTTAATAGTTACGGAAATATACGTCTAGCAATGTCTTCTACCTTAGGAAACCTAATTTTAAATATTATTTATTACATTACATTACAAGAAGATATTTTCGTTGGGAATTGTAATTAATGAATATAAAAAAATTGCAAAAAGAAATAATTGTAGTACGTACTAATTGTAAGCGAAATCGTCCTGGAGCAGAACTCGGAGTTAGTGTACTAGCATTCAATATAGCGCCGCACTATTTAATGCTTTAGATTTACGTTAGAGTTTAAAAAATTTGTCGATAAATATATGAAGCTTCACGGTGAAAGGGACCTAACGCGACAAAAAATGATAAAATTTTAGACTTTTGCATTTGAAAAAACAAGTCAAAATATATTGATTGTCATCAAAAACTCCAAATTCATTTAATTTAAATTAAATTAACAAATTGCCGTGAAAGCATGATTTGTCCTTTTTGAGAGAATCACCCTTATATTAAATGTCATGAATTTTGGATGATTTCCTTGCCTAATTAACGTAATTTTCATAAAATCGATAAAAAAACAAAATTAAAATTCTGTAAAATGCAAAATTAATCAAAGGCATATTCGATTAAACGAGATCAAAGTATGTTGTTCTGTTAATTAATTAATTAATCAAATTTTGTTGAATGGAAATTTAATTAAAGGAAAATACTTTTAAAAGAAAATTTTAGTTAAATGAAAACCTGGTCAAAAAGAAAATCAGTTAAAATATAATTTAGTCAAATAAAAATTCTGTTAAATTCAAAGTTGGGTAAATAAAAATTCTTTCAAAAGCACATTCGGATAAATGAAAATTTAATTAATTGAAAATCCTATTAAATGCAAAGGTTAAATAAAAATTATTTTAAAATCATGGTTAAATATCAATTCCGTTTAATAAAAATTTTATTAAATATAAATGTTCAAAAGAAAATTCCTTTAAATAACAATTTGGTTAAATAAAAAGAACTAATCAAAAGCAAATATGGTCAACTGATAATTCAATCAAATAAAAATTTGATTAAATAAAAAATAAAAATTTGGTTTTACGCAAATACTGTGAAATTAAAATTTGTTCAAATGAAAATTCGGATATTTAATCAATAAATACGCGTGTTGTATAAAATGGAAAAATTAAATAAAAATAAATTTCATTGATTTAAACAAAAATTTTGACATTTTCCATGAGATGTAGAAAACTTGGAAATGTTCTGTTAAGTTAAAATCGCGATGAGTTACCGACCGAGCTATTTACAAAAGTATTTTTGCTCCCGCTGCAATAGATGGCGCGCGTGTGCATCAAGAACATTTGTGCATTGCTCTAGCAATGCACAAATGTTCGACTTTCTGCTGGGAAGTCGATGCGGGAAATACGTGCTTTCGACCGAGGTATGAAAAAATATACTTTTCGAAGTAATTATTTTTAGAGTTGTTAGCAATAACTATAATAATTTTCAACATTTAAAAGTAATTAAAATTTTTTTTTAATTACTATTTCGATTCTAACAATCCGTAAGAATTAAATTTCATTAAAAAAAATTAAATTAAGTTTTTTTAACTTTAAATAAATAATATAGAGATTTTCTATTGTCCGAATGAGTTTTCAACATTTTCGCGAACTTCTATTATTCATTATGTGAATAGCTTTCAAACGTTTGAAAACTGTAAAAGAACTGTTGAGAGAAAAAAGTCCGTGTTTTAAAACTGAGAAATAAAAATTCGTCAATACCTAATGTGCCTGTTTACAACTATATACATATATATACCATTGAAACAGTAAATAAAGAAAAATGTGTATGCACATCACACAACAGACAAACTAAAACGAAAAAAAAATTGCTAGTCGACATTTTTTAAACCCCTTTGTTTGCACACGAACCATATGTGAAGCTTATAGTATAGAAAATGTTTCAAACCGATGTAAAAATGGTCAATTGAATCTCCTTGAAAAAATATAATACATCGACTGCGTGGAAATTTCGGTGAAAGCATTCTTTTTAAGAGCCGTTCATGTACCACGTGAACAATTTTTAATCACTTTTTGACGAACCTTCCACACCCCCCCCCTCCTATAACGGTCCATCTGGACTTTTTTTAGGGAAAAAATATTTTTGGGTTATTATGAAAAATTATAATTTTAAGAAAGGTTTTTTATTTTAAAATGATAAATAAATAGATATTTAATATTTGATAGTACAGTAGAATCTCGATTATCCAAACCGTAGAACATTTTATCAGAACTTCTGTTATCCAAACTTTTTTTGCCTTTACGGATCTTAAAATTTATTTTTTTCATTTTAAAAATTTCATCATTCAAATTTCGTTCAAAAACGAATAGATTCAATTTTCCAAAGTAAAATATCAAAATTTATTCCAAAAAATCTCAAAAAATTCGTTTTTTTATTTTATTAATTCAATACATATCATTAAACTGTTCCATTGTGTTACTTTAATATATAAAAACACTTAAATATTCTATTATTCGAATTTTCGATTATCCGAATCCGGTATAGAACTCGCCGTTTGTCATAATTCTCGTCAACTACCGCACCTTGCTTTAGTGAAGCTTTCGTAATTTTATTGTTAAAATTAAAAGTTACTATAAAGTTATTAAATTTTCTCTAGAGCAGGGTGCGGTAGTTGACGAGAATTATAACAAATGTCGAGTGGGAAGATGGAAACCAACCCTTAATTGTAAGAATAACGCTCAGTATAGAAAAAATTTGTGGCCCTAGGTACGTCCTGGTCTAGATTTCAACGACATTATTTTAGTGCTAGCAGCATATTTAATCACGGAGTAGTAATAAGGACTGGATTTGTATAGGCGGTTCTCAGCATAACGAGTGCCAAGTTTCTTGTAAGAGTAATGCATGTAGAATAAACAACACTAGCGTGACTTTCGGATGAATTTGCAAGTATTGCTGTAAAATGTTTTCGTCGTCTTCTATAGAAAGAAATTCTTCGCATTCTTTTTGACAGTTCGAGCAAGTCCGGTTAAGTTCGATATTTTCCCGGTTTGCGTAACTAATAAATCCGATAAAACGAAACTGGTGAATGCAGATTCCACATTTACTAGTTACACAAGCCGGATTAATTTCGGATTCAACAGAAGTAATTTCACATTCACTAGTTGTATATGATCAGATTAATTGAGGATTAGATAGGATTAATACCGGATTTACTAATCACACAAATAATACTAATTTGGTACTAATTCCAGACGACAGAAACATGACTATAACCATTTCTCAGAAGGTCAAAGTAGAGAAAATTATTTAAGGGTCCCATCCGCATATTACGTGATAACTTTAGGTATGAGAGGATAGGTTAGTAAAGTATCACGCTCTATTGTATGTTAATGTGTAAACAAGAAAAAAATATCACATGGGGTGGGAGGGGATCTAAATTACCTTAAACATGTATCACGTAATAAGTGAATGATCCCTTAAATAAATAATAACACAAAGCAATTATGCCTTTTCAAAACTAGATAATATAGCTGTAATTTAATCGCATTGACAATAACAAATAAGAAGTAAACTCTAGCTACTTTAAATGATTTTCTAAAAATCGTCACAACCGTCCCCATCTTCCCTATATATTGTATCATCGTCCGCGCGTACAGTGAGGGATTCGACTATTTTGGATAGCTGAAAGTGGTTGCCAAACGAGGTTTTTGCATGCACGTATAAAGAAAAAGATATTTCCTGTAGTTTAACTTCCTTTGTAATATCCTGCTCTGTATACTCCCAGGGAAAAACGTTATATCTATTTTAATAAAAAGTGCATTATCTGTATTTTTGTTTGATTCAAATAAGTATTTTATTTAATTAATTTATATTTATTTAAAATAGCAGTACCCATTTTTCACAAATAAAAAACTATTATTATAATTATTATTAAAATAAGAAATGTAGGTATTATTATATATAGAATTTATTGTATATTATATCGATCCTTTGATGATAAATAAGTTGTAACTTTTTTAATGGGCTTTAGGATCCAGTAATAATAATTAATGCATAATTATTTCAAACGTTTCGGTTCCAATGTGAACATTCATCAGTGAATTTTACTATCTAAGCAATAACAATTGTCTCTAACAATTAACACGTGTTAAAATATGACACTCACCCCCACATAAAATTTTAATTTTTTTGAACACACCCACAAACAAACACCCCCACCCCCAAAAAAATTATCTCTTTTTCCTGAAGGACTTCAGTCAGTTTATGATAAACTTCTCAAATGAAAAGTATGTTAAAAAATCTTAAATTCAATTCTTTCATTATGTTTCTTTACATATATTTCTTAATTATACAATTAAAATTTTCTAATGAAAATAAAACTGTGTTTGAAGTGCGACGCCAGATTGATGTTTTACTCTCTAAATTTGAATCAGCGATAAGTATACCACTGGTACCAATCAGCGGATATACACTGAAAAATCAGTGAAATTCCACTAATTCATCAGTGCATATAAGCTGCTGGGAATCAGTGGTATACGTATAGCTAAGAATCAGCGAGATTCCGCTGATTCAAATTTAGAGAGTATTGGATATTTTAATGAATTAACAATAAGGTTATTTTTTTAATTTTATATACATAACACATTACTGTTGGTCATACAAACTTTGATATATTACCTATAAAGACTATACAATATTTTTTTTATTATTATTATTCTTAATAAATCATTTTCTCATGATTAATTCATTTAATTTTTATTGTATTCAAAATTGTTAAGAAACAAAAAAATTTATTTGTTAATTATTGGTTTGTTTAGACCATTAAATTCAC